TCATTTTGGCAGCTGGCCCCGGACAGCTATTGATTTACCTCCACTGCAGAGATATCCATGAGTTAGAGCTGACCTTGGGGCAAAGTTATGAGAACTTGAGGGAATGAGCCCTGGGCCAAGGGACTCGGGTCTCGAGGACACCCCGATAGTTTATTCCACAAAGACAATGTTCTACATTCACCAATAGCAACTGGGGTCTTAAAGGCTCACAAGCAGCCAGCGAAGATCTCTCCCTCCCTGGAGGTAAGAGGAGTGATGACAATTGAAGACGTGGAAACAGCTAGCTCAGTGGGCTAGTGGCCGGTGCCTGGCTACCACTCCCCACTGCGCCGAAAGAGACCACAGGGGACAGCCCAGGTGGAGCGGGAGAAACGTGGGGAACAAAACTAAAAGTCATAAACCAGACTGACCTTACTGGTTGGATAGAGACTGCACGGAAATAGACTCCTAAGACTATGGCCCTTAGTCAACCTTCAGGTCTGGGACTGAACGAACCTGTACAACTCAATTTTTAGCCAAAAGGAAAGAGAGAAAGAAGAATCTATACAGAGTGTATAATGAACCTGTTTTCCTGCTCTTTCCTCCTGAGCCTCTCCCTGCCAGATCAGCATCCCCCACAGCAAGCACCAAGTTCACTGCCATCCAGTGAGTCTGATTCATAGAGACCTTGTAGGACAGAGTTGAACTGCCCAAGACTAACTCTTTACAGAAAAGTCTCCTCTTTCTCCCTGGGAGGACCGGGGTTCCAAACTGCTGACCCAGAGGCTCGCAGCTCAGCAGGTAAGCCACGACGCCACCAGGGCTGTGTCTACTGCAACAGCTACGGGTATAACCAGATCTAGCCCACCCAACACAGCTGCAACCTCCAGGTGGTCCTGGGACAAGAAAGGTTCCTTATGGTACCAGCCCAGCCCCAATCATATTTGGAATGGAGAACCCCAATAACCAAGAACTGTAACTTCACCCCAATGCATGTCCCTCGGAAATCTGCTACGTATAATTAACTCACTTAACTTCCTGGTGTCTATGTACCAAAGTGCAGTCCTCTTGCCTTCGGGAGCTTGGCTTGCCCACCCGAGTCCCGACTTGGCAGCTCCGTGCTCGATCCACCAAAGCAAAGCTCTCCCTGCCCCTGCTCCCAGGCGCTGTGTTTCTTACACTGTGCCGAGGAGACGCCTGGGCTGGGGACTCAGCCTATTCTCCTTCTTGAATCCGTTTTCAGGTTAAGATTTCCTGGGAAAATTCTCTTTCCACGACTCACCCGTTTTCCTTTTCCTCGCGTTCCTGTTAATATCGGTGGCTCCTGTGTGGTCACATTCTTCTTTATTCCGACCTGCTGGTCACGTGTGCTCTGGGTCTTTTTCTCTAGAATCTTTCTGAATTCCCACCTATGTGATGAGTCTTTTCTCAAGAGACACTTCTTGGCTTTGCTCTCACTTTGCTACTGTTTCTATTAGTTGGTGGTGTTGTGGGTTGTGTGTTTGGCTGCTCGCCACAAGGTCAGCGGTTCGAAACCACCAGCCACTCCTGAGAAGACAGATGAGGCTTTCTACCCTCCTACAGAGCTGCAGTTTCGGGGACCCACAGAGGCAGGCCCTTCTGGTCCTGTTGGGTCGCTGTCAGCTGGCCATCAACTCCACAGCAGTGAGTTTGGTTTGGGTCTATTTCATTTCCCCTTCATTTGTCTTTGGGGTTGTCTTCTTCTTTTGGGGGGGGTTTGTTTTCTCAATTCTTATTTTGGACACGGCTCTCCTGAATTTGCAGCCATCCTTATTCTTTTTAAAAGAAATCATTTTTATGGGGTGCTCGTACAGCTCTTATTGCAATCCAAACACACATCCATTGTGTCAAGCACATCATTTCCCCAACATTTTCTTTCTACTTGAGCCCTTGGTCTCAGCTCATTTCCCCCCTCCGCCACCCTCCCTCCCTCCCGAACTCTTGATCATTCATAAATCATGATTGCTTTTGACGTCTTACACTGACCGCTGTCTCCCTTCACCCACGTTTCTGTGGTCTGGCCGCCTGTCCTAGTCTAACACAGGCCTTTAAGACCACGAGGGCCTGTCTTAGCTGTGGGCTCAGCAGAGCGGGAAGAGCCTATTTTTTGTGAGAGCTGTCTGACCACAGAGATGCCTTCGTCCAAGTATCCAGTCTGCTGGATGGATAGGCTTTTTCTTGCTTCCTCCCCACATTCGAGAAGATGCATTCATCCCTGCCTGTTCCAGGAGGCAGCAGCCCCGTCCAGCTTGCTGGACTCTGAAAAGGCTGGGCAAGCCTTTCACCTCCTCACAGTTGGTTGTCCACTTTGTCTGCTGGCCCCTCCCCTGCCTCAGGCCGCTGAGCCCCTGCCCTTCCAGCTGAGGTCAGCCCACCCACCCCAGCCCGGAACAACTGTTGTCCACAGCGATCTTCCACCGCTTGCCCTGGCCTCTGCCCCAGCTGTGGCCAGAACAACCCTTGACCCCCACCAAGTCTAGCTGGGACGCTGCCCAGCTGAGGCTCCGACAGGCCTTCACGCCTGTCCCCTGCCCAGCCCCTGAGCCCACCAACCTGCAGGGCTGTGCTGGGAAAGAAGACCCGAAGCAGCCAGGTGAACAAGGAATAAGGAGATGACTGCCACCAGGTGTCACCGAGATGGGGACATTGAGACAGAGAGCAGTGGAGCGGGTCACACCACGACCCCGGCTCGGCTCCTTTAGACACGGCAGGCCTGGTGCCACCCCAGAGAGGAAGATGACCCTGAGTGGATTTGGACAGAAGCTCCAAGAGGACTGCATTAGAGACAGACACCCAGGTCCCCAAGGTCTGTCCCTGCAGAGGGCTGCAGAATGACGTTCTTTACAGAAGAGAAGGCTGTGGGGAGGAGAGACCTGCGTGCCCCTGGACGAGCCAGGCTCCAAACCCAGCCTGGGGTCCCTGGCCTAGGCTCCTCCCTCCCACCCCCAGCCCTGGTTCTCCCAAGGTGCACAGCAAGTGTCCCCCCTCACCCCACTTCATGAGCTGGAGACACACCCCACCCGCCGGGCATCCCCACCCTCGGACTTCCAGAAGCTGGAATATTCTATCCGGTGTATCCTCCGGGGCTCAGGGCACAGCTCCGTCAAACCCAACTTCAACGGGTTTGGAGATGGTCTGAAATGTTAACCCCTGCCCCACCCCTCCCCCACCTAGTTCTCAATAAAAAAAATACACTTTAAGAATCTTTGGAGCTCATTCACCATCCCTCATCCCTCCCATATCCAAGTTACCACACGTTCAAGGACACCTTATAAGGTCAAAGACCGTCAAATCTTCCAGCAGGGATGGAGACACCAGGGGCTGTGAGGCCCGAGTTGCGGGCTGGCCACTCGCAGGGCGGGTGGCGACATCAACATTGGTCCCCGAGGTGTGTTCATCTTTACATCCTGCCCTTTCGTCAGCCGGCTAGGGAGGGCAGGAGAGGCCCCAAGAGCTGGGGTATGGATCTAGTGGGTGCTGGGAATGCGCCCTACCCACCAGCTCCGTATTCCCTTCAAAGTCCCCTAATTTAAGGTCTCCGTGCCCACAAGCAGTAGAACCACCGAGGTCCCTGGGCGTCCCATGGAGGCCGCATACTGGGGGCTCAGGACCGTCCTGGTCCCCATGGGCGAAGCATCGCCCAAGGGCTGAGACTCCCCACTGCCTCCCAAGGACACTGGCCAGGCGCCCAGTGAGGAAACTCTCTTCCAACTGATAAGGACAGAGAGGAGGGTTTCTGCTGGCGGACTGGGAATGGCCACAGGCCCCTGTGAGGACAGGCGAGGCCCTCCGCTCAAGGCAGCCTGGAAGCCAGACCCGTGACCGTCCTGAGAGGGTGGGCCCCGGATGGCATCCAGAGAACCAAGGACAGACAGCAACTCATTGAAAGTTGCCTGACCACCGCTGAGCTGCAAGCTCCCTCCCTCTGATGACACCTTTATAAAATGAGAAGGGGGCTTCTCACCTCCTCTGAAGCACCCACTTCATTTCTTTGGAAGGTGGTCCACTGCTTGAAGAAAACTCTGGCTCGAAAAAAAAAGAGCGAAAAGAAAACTGGCTTAACTCTTTGCTGTTGCTGCTGCTAGTGGTGTGTGTGTGTGTGTGTGTGTGTGTGTGTGTGTGTATACTCGAGCTCAGATTGTCTCTGAACACCCTTACAACCACACAGGTCGGGAACTTGCCAGTTATCGCCTGGATGACAGTCTGACCACGCGAACAAAGCTTGTGTCCAACGAGTCTGGACCAGAGCTTGGGGATGGGCTTCAGATGCTCTAAAGACCAAAGCCACAGTTGCTTGTGATCCAAAGCCCACCTTGGGACCCGCCCCGCCAGGCTAGTTAACGGCATGCTTGCCCTCCCCCAGGGCGGGGGCACCCAGGCTCCCGGAAGGAGCTGGGACTGAGGTCTCGATGCTCTGCTCTGCTGAAGACCACGTCTGCAGCCCCCTTTGGGGGTCTCAAGGAGGGCTATGCTGACTCCAGGTGGGGCACGCTCCCAGGTCAGCCTCTCTGCCGTGTCACCCCATGCCAGGGGCTGGGGTGGGGCTCTTGGTTCTGGACCAGCTGACTAACAGAGACACCTATCCTACCCTGTCCGGAAGGTCCACTCTCAGCCACTCCCTTTGCTGCCCTTTACAAGAACCAGGAAATAGGCCAGGGTCAGCTGGGGCAAGACACTGCCTGCTTTCAGCAGGTATGGGGAGTGGGCTTTGCCACACCTACCACCACCTCTGATTCGAATCCGTGTCGGGCCTCCTGGAGGTCAGTGAAGACAGTTGGTCCAGCTCAGGAGCGAAGGGAAGGGTGCAGAGATTGGGTAGCAGCGTCCTTGTCCCTTCTAGGAGTTCCTGGGCACTGCCCTGCCCCCAGCCATCACCTTGCACAATCCTGACCAGGAAGAGAAAGGGACAGACATGTTGCTAAGTATTTCAGCAGGAGTTGCTGGCCATTGCCTCATTCTTCCTGGATTTGGCAAAGGGTGAATCACCCCACCCCGCTCTGGGCTGGTAGCCAGGTGGGCCCATAAGTAGGAGGCTGCTCCCTCCCTGGCCTTCTGTGCCTTCACTGCCTGCCCGGCCCAGCAGCTCCCTGGAGTGCAGCTTGCTCAGCCCTGAAACCATGGCCCTACGTGTCCTGTGGCTGGGCCTCGCTCTCCTGGGGGCCTTGCAGAGCCAGGCCCAGGAGCTCAACCTGCTGCCAGCCCCCCCGCTGCTCAAGGTCCCTCTGCAGCCCGACTTCCAGGAGGACCAGGTAAGGAGACAGGAGGGAGCCCTGCAGGGAGGGCCCAGCAGAGGGACAAACAGAGGGGGAGAAAGGGCCCTGGTAGCGGTGGGCAAGATGAGTGCTGCTGGGGAGACCAGGGCCCAAGCCTCAGCCTGCTCTGCGGCCCGGGTTCCCCCTGGGCCAGGCTGCAGGGAGGGCTTCCCCGGGCTTTGCTGTATTTGGGCTCCGCTCATCTAACCCCCACTCCCCACACCCCCCCAGTTCCAGGGGAAGTGGTACGTCATTGGCCTGGCGGGGAACGCAGTGGGCAAAGATCAAGGTGAGTTCAAGATGTACACCACGACCTATGAGCTGAAAGACGATGGCAGCTACAATGTCACCTCCACCCTGCTTAGGTGAGAGCCACCTTCCCTCCCGGGGGCAGGTGGGGCCTGAGAGGCCCCCCCGGGGTCTGAGAAACAGAAGGATGTGCTGAAGGAGTCATTCATTCATGCTGTTCATCTCAGGGCAGACACACCTACGTGAGATGGGCCTCGATGACCGCTAGGAAACCAGACAGAGAGGCTAGGGGTGACTGGGCTAGGAGGAAGGACACCTGGAATGTCACCTGAGTCTTCATGGAAGTCTTCCAGGGAGGTGGCCTCTGGGCTGGGCCTTGAAGGAAATAATGTGCCTTAGAAAGAAGTGTGGGGCAGTCATTGCAGGGGACAGTGGGGTCAGCAAGAGCCCCTCCTTCAGGAAGCAGACAGTCGTGGGCCTGGGTACCCTGAACAGAAGCTGGCAGGGTCCTCGAGGGACAGCCGGGTGCAGAGGCCACAAGGGTGGCAGTCACTCAAGTGGCCATGGCAGGGCAGGCAAAGCAAAGATAATCCTGCCCCTGTGAGGTTCGGAGTCTAGCACCTGGTCCACAGCCAAGCTCCCCGCCAGCCAGTCAGGAGTCAATGCTGACTCACAGAGACCCCCGTGGTTTCCAGGGCTCACAGTGGGAAAAGCCAGGCCCCTCTGAGTTGGGCGGGGTGGGCCTCCTGCTGTACAATGGGAAGGGGCTGTCATGGGCTGGGCTGGACTGAGGACATTAGCCCCCTGGCCTCCAGTGGCCGCCCTGACTCTATCTTGTCCAGTCCAGGGCTCTGCCTGTGTCGTCTCCTCTCTGACGGCCCCTTTCTCACCCACACAGGAATGACAACTGTGTCTACTGGATCCGAACTTTTGTCCCAAGTTTCCAGCCAGGCCAATTCAACCTGGGCAACATTAAAAGTGAGTCCTAACTGAGGCAGGGGCCCGGGGGCAGGGCTCGGGGGCTCAGCTCCTTCCGGGTCCTCCCCGCCTCCCCTAGAACATGTTATATATATCATCTTCTCTGTCCCAATATATATAATGTCCCCTCGGCCGTCGGCCACCCACAGATTTCCAAGGCATTCAGAGTTACACGGTGCGTGTGGTAGCCACTGATTACAACCAGTTTGCCACTGTGTTCTTCAAGAAGGTGTCCAATGGACAAGAGTATTTCAAGACCACCCTCTACGGTGAGCCCCCACCCCTGCCATCAGGGACCCAGCTCCTGGCCACTCCACGCAGACCCCAAGGTCCCCTCCAGTTCTGCTCCAGACTCCTGAGAGGCCGGGCAGCGTTCTCCGAGGAGGAGGTTCGGAGGGAGGGCTCCTTCTTCGCTTGTTCAACACGGTTTACGGAATGTTTGCCGCATGGGCTCTCTTGGCTGCAGGGAGAACCAAGGAGCTGACTCCGGAGCTGAAGGAAAACTTCGTGCGTTTTGCCAAATCCCTGGGGCTCACGGATGACCACATCATCTTCTCTGTCCCAATTGGTAATGGCCAGTGTGGATACGGAAAGGGGACATGGGGACTGCAAAGGCCTGATGCTTTGGTGTGAGGGAAAGAGGTTGGGGGACGGGGGGAGTCACTCTTCCGCTCAGGTCACTGGGGTCAAAGGGGTGGGTGACCCAGGGACTCTATAGGAGTCCCCTCGTCTTCAGGAAGACCCTACTCCAGCCCTGGGCCCCCAGTTCTCTTAACTGGCAGAGTAGCCAGCCCTGCCCAGGTGGGACTTCCAGGTGCTGGGGTGGGTCTCGCTGCCCAGAGGTACTGCACCCGTACGCTGGTCCTGCTGTCCTGAATCATCTTCCCCTTCCCTGGGCCTTGCTCACCACTGACTTGGAGCACGCCCTTATCCTCGGGCAGCCTTACCTGGACAGAAAGCCACCAGCTGCCAGGCTTTCGCTGTCAGGGCTCAGGCAGCAGACAGGCAGGTGCAGGGCCAGGCCTGGCTCGCATCCTGGGTATCCCCCAGGTCAGCTGTATCCCAGGCCTTTCTCACATTCTCCTTCCTCTTCCTGTTCCTTCCCTCCCCCCATGATCAGTCCTTCGGTGACCCCTATCTCTGAAGGGAACCCCCAGATCTTCTGCAGGGCCAGGCAGGGCCCTGGGACCGTGCACGGGGACTGCAGGAGGCCCTGGCAGCCTGGGGTCTCACACATACCCCCGCTGTTCTACCGCCTCTCTCCCCACAGATCGGTGCATCGACGGTGACAATGTGTGACGGTGCCGCCTTGAGGACGGCTGCCCCCAGCCAACCCTGCTGGCAGTGGCAGAGCTAGAAGACCCTCCGCTGGACCTGGCTCCCCCTGACTGCCCTCCTGACCCAGCCCATGTAGCTTGCTGAATAAACACCCAAGTCACCAGGGCCCTGACTCTGCTCCTTTACACCTGGGTCCTGGGGGGAGGGACTGTGGGGGCGAGGGCTCTCACTTTTGTCTCTCCCAAGGGCCCCTGGTTCCCAGTGAGGGGTGGAGGGGACAGAGCTGTCTAGATGTTAGTGCTGCAGAGGGAAGGGAGGAAAGGAAGGCGATTTGATGGGCTTTCCCCTCACTCGTTCCTGCTTAGACTGGACATTCCCAGGTTCCCAACCCTGGGCAGCCCTCACTTGTCCCTGCCTGCCAGGAGAGCCTGCCCTTAACATATCGTCATGGGCACAACTATACAGCGATAATATGTAAAGATGACAGTAAAGTCGTGGAGAACAAGAGAGAAAGTAAACTGAAGGAGTCAAGCCCATTTCATAGTAGCATGCTCACCTCAGCCCCACTTGGTGGTCCACGGGAGGATGTGGAAGGTGGGAATGGCAGGGGAGAGAGGACTGGGCTGGAGAGGAGAAAGGGCCAGAGGAGAGAGCGTGTCTGTATTGTTTTGGGGCTTTTATAGGTAGTCCTTAGGCATGCGCATTCAGGAGTTACATATGTCACTAGGTGGGTAGGAATCAAGTAAAGTCCCTGAGCTCACAGGTGAGGAAGCCTGATACCTGCATGGGGGGAAGACGTGAGGGGGATGGGCGCTGCAGTGGAAGGAGCTAATCGGGGAATTCTGCCTCCACAGGGAGGCAGAATCAACCAGGTGCTCGCTTTAAGGCAGCCCAGCTGTTGGGGGAGAATCTGTGGGCATGACATTTGTTAGTTTCTCACAGGGTACTGTCAGAGGAAGCCAGCCTCCAACAACTGAAGGGTCAGTGGGCACAAGCGTGTACGGCGATGATCTATAAAGATGACAGTAAAGTCATGGAGAACAGGAAAGATAGGAGAGAGAATACAATGAAGGAATCAGACACATTTCATGGTTCCATGCTCACCTCAGCCCCTCTTGGTGGTCCACGTGGAAGTGGGAGAAGAGAGAGGGAATCTTTACTATCTTGGGATATTTGTAGGTAGCCTTAAGCCATGCATATTCAGTAGTTACATGTGTCACCAGGTGGGTGGTATCTACATTAAGGTTCCTGAGCTCACAGGTGAGGACGCTGAAAACCTGCATTGGGCTTTCCAGCCTGGTCCCGGCGCTATGGCTCCCGTGGTGAGAAGAAGCAGGGCCGTTCGGCCATCCACGAGGTCGTGAGCAGAGAGCACACCATCAACATTCACAAGCGCATCCATGGTGGGCTTCAAGAAGCGTGCCCCTCGGGCGCTCAAGGAGATTTGGAAGTTTGCCATGAAGGAGATGGGGACACCCGATGTACGAACCGACACCAGGCTCCACAAAGCTGTGTGGGCCAAAGGAATCAGGAATGTTCCATACCGTATCCGTGTGCGGTTGTCCAGGAAACGTCATGAGGATGAAGATCCCCCAAACAAGCTCTACACATTGGTTACCTACGTGCCTGTCACCATTTACATAAACCTACAGTCAACGTGGATGAAAACTAGTGGCTGGTTATCTAATAAAGGTTTTAAATTGCCAAAAAAAACCAAAACAAAAACCCTGCATTGGGGGGAAGGTATGAGGGGGCTGGGTGTCACGGTGGGAGGAGATAGCAAAAGGATGCTTCTATAGGGAGATAAAACCAGCCCTGTGCTCACTTTAAGCAGCAGAGCTGTTAGGGGAGAATCGGTGGGAATGGTATTTAAAGCAGAACAATGCACTTGGACGTCACCTCTAACTTACCAAAGGGAGGCTTTCCTAGCAGGGAATACCAGCTTTCCAGATGCCCTCTGTCATAAGTTAGGGACTAGAGTCCTCGTCGTCCTATTTCCTCCATGTTAGTTCCCCACTGATACTATCCAGTCCAGTGAGGAGCAGCCGCCCCTCACGACCACTCTCAGATGCCAGCCTGCAACAGGCGCCAGAGCAGAGGCCCAGCCAGGACCCTGAGCTGGGGCTGCAGAGGCACTAGGGTGGCTGTGGGGCAGCTTGCCACCCTCTAGGAACCATGTGGGTGCTGGGACCTGGCAGCCCAGGCAGGAGGGCTAGACCCCAGCCTGGGGCTATGCCAGGCAGAGGGCTCAAGCAGGACCAGTTCTCTAGCCCCTGTGGGCCCGATGCCCGCCCACCTGCCCCCATTTGGTGCCTATCGTGACCATTCAGAGTTTGCTCCCTGACCCTAGAACACCCCCTGTGTTCACTTCCAAGTCACCGTTGGGGGCATTCTGTAGCCAGCTTCCAGGAAGAAGATACCAGAACTCCAGTTCCTAGGACCAGAAATCTGCACCTCCACTTGGCGAGACCCACCTCATGGGGACGGGCACACCCCTGTCCACCCACTGGCTACAGCTTATCCCCCTTCTGTGTCTACACCACAGTCCTGACCTTCTCCTCTCCCAGGGTCAGAGCAAGTGGGAGCCTGAAGGAACCTGGGCTAACTCACCCTCGAGACACGAGGACCTGTCCAGGAGCAGGAGTTGGGGAGACTCTGGAGCTGTGAGCAGCCCCAGCCTTTCCCCCTTAGACAACAGGACAGACCTGAGATTCTGTCCTATCAGCAGCCTCGGAAATTGGGGCCAGATGCAGGAAGATGAGATTAGCGTTGCCCGGGTGGTGGGCAAGAGAAAGAGGCCCGTGTCCGAGTCCACTAGGCTACTGGCCAGAGCCTCAAAGTTAGCCAAGGGGCAGGAGCTGAATATACACACCTGGCTGCAGGCCACACCTCCAGCTTCTTTACCTTGGCCCAAGCTTCCCTCCTGTCACCACCTAGGCCTGCAGATGGGGCCCTGGGTTTCCTCCTGAGTCAGGTGTTCTGTCCGTTTCCTAGGACTGTGCCGGAGACCAGCTCCGGAGTGTTCCTGACAGAAAGCTGAAGTTGGGTGAGTGGTCTTGAGAAAAAAGAGAATATAGAAAAGTAGGGTTCAGGAGGACCAAAGAAACATTCTGAAGCGTGAATGTGTGCAATGGCACTTTATTAAAAGCTGTGTTTTCTTTTATACCCCATTTCTTGGCTCCTTCTGGGATAACAGCCAAGTCCATCAACAAAGACACCTGGACTTTGCAGCCACGTCCTTGCAAGTCAAGGTTAAGCAAAATAGTTTGTTCTAACATATCTTAGCAGATCCAAGAAGCCAAGTTATTTTGCTAAATACAAAAGTTCATTTATAGTTCATTCAACTCGCATGAGAACTTTTAACTAAGGGTGAAGTCCCACTCTTTATACCCGTTAGGCCGGTTAGGATAGGTTTGCACCCTCTCCCTTCCCTAAGACCATGGGGAAGAAATGGGAAATCACCCTACAGGACTGCAGTAACAAATGACCACACACCTGGTTGCTTATGACCCTCACACTTTTGTTCTCCCAGTTCTGAGGATCAGAAGTCTGAAATAACCATCCCTGGGCCAAAAGAAATCGACGCATCTGCGGGGCTACAGTCCTTCGGAGGGTCTAGGAGAGAATCGCTGGGTTCTCCTTGCCTTTCCCATCTCCTAAAGTCGCCTTCCACGGCTTCAGTCACAGCCTCTTCCAGCCTCTCTCTGTCTGAGGCCAAACCTCCCTCGTAGAAGGACCCTGTATTGTTTCCAGGGGAACCCAGGAAATCCAGGATAACCTCCCCATCTCAAAATCAATGGTCCCTTCTACAAAGACATTTTTTTCTGGAATAAGGTGACCTTCCCAGGTTTCTGGGATTTGGACCTGGATCGGCTCGGGTATGGTGGCAGGGCTGGTGAGCTACAGGTGAGAGAGTCTCAACCGGAGCCTGTTTCCTACGCAGCCTGGTGGGGAGTGAGGCTGTCGTTCTGTCCAGTCCACCTCTGGTGCTCCATCTGAGGCCAGGAACTTCCATGGGGGCCATGCTTAGGCCCTGGGTATAAGCTAAGCTAGGCCCCAGAGCACGGGCCTCCCCAGCACCCTCCACTTCTGCTGCTGCTTCCCTTCCTCTGCACCAGGGCCCAGCACTTGCTCAGACTCTGGAGAATGGCCGCGTCTCAAAGGCTGTGGGCAGAGCTGGCCCTGCTGGAGCCTGAGGGTCCTTTAGATCCTGCCCTGATCTCTGTACAGTCCAACTTCCAACAGGACAAGGTGAAGGGCTTTCTTGGCCAGACCCCATGGTGGGACGGCCCCCATGGATGAAAGCTCTCTCTCCCCATGATCATGGATGGACACTCTCTCTGGGACGGGACTGTCTGCTTGGAAAAGGAGAGACTGAGTCAGGCCAGCTCAGTGTGGAGGTCTGAGTGAAACTGAGAAGGAAGAGGGATTGGACACCCAAGAGACATGAGCTAACCCACGAGAGACCCTCCCTGGGACCACAGCAGAACCCCGTGTCCCCTGACAGGTTTCTGTAGCTGCATCTCTAGAGCGGTGGTTCTCAAACTTCCTCATGCCTCGACCCTTTCGGACAGTTCCTCATGTTGGGGTGACCCCCACCCCCACCCATAACATGATTTTCGTTGCTACTTCATCACTGTCATTTTGCTACTGTTATGAATTGGGCAACCCCTGTGAAAGGGTCATTCGACCCCTAAGGGGGGTCACGACCCACAGGTTGAGAACCGCTGTTTTAGAGTATTCCTGTAGTGAGGTCACACAATGTTGTTGTTAGGTGCCATGGGGTCGGTTCTGACCAGCACCCACCTTATGCATAACAGAACAAAACACTGCCCGGTCCTGCGCCATCCTCACAGTGGTTCTGATGTCTGAGCCCACGGATGCAGCCACTGTGACAGCCCATCTCCTTTGTCACTGCCCTTCCACTTTACCAAGCATGATGTCCTTCTTCGGGGCGTGGTCTCCCCTGACAACATGTCCCAAGTAGGTAAGACGGAGCCTCGCCATCCTTGCCTCTAAGGAGCACTCTGGCCGCACTTCTTCCCAGACAGATGTTTCTCCTTCTAGCACTCTGTGATGTTTTCAATATTCCTCTCCACACCACAGTCAAACACATCGATTCTTCTTCTTTGGAACATACACTGGTATCCTTTGGGGTCTGATTTATTTCACGCAGCATTATGCTTTCAAGGCGGGTCCAGGTCATAGCACGTTCCAGAGTCCCACTTCTTCTGACGGCCAGTGATGCTCCATTAGAAGAACTTGTTGGTTTACGCATGCATCCATTGTGGGGCATTTAGGATGTTTCCATGTGGGGGCTATTGTGAACAGTGCTGCGATGAACATCAGGGTGGGAGCTCCTGCTGGCATCCCTGCCTCCAGCCCTTTCGGGCAGATACCTAAGAGTCAGCTTGCTGGGTCGTCTAGCAGTTCTGGGTACAGCTTTGTGAGTGTTTCCACAGCCCTCACGTTGGATTCCCACCAGCAGTGCATGAGGGTGGTGTGGGTTCAATCAAATAACAGCCACTATCCTGTCTTGATAATTTAGAAGAGTCTTTATTCGGTTATAACCGGACTGCTAGAATCTAAAAGCGATTCTTTCTATTGCAGTCCCGAGTGGAGATAATAGCCAGCGTATACAGGCAGAAACCCACGTATCAGAAACTTTCCTATCGAGCGAGCAGGTACGACAAAAGCAGAGCAGGGTACAGGATTGACGATAACATCCTGGTTGATAAAATAAGAAGAGGAATATCCTGGTTACAGCATCACAAGGAACAATATTGTTCATTACAACCTTCTGATCCTGAGAATGTAAGAGTACATTCTGAACTCAATCACCAGCGGGGATTTCCGAGATGAGAGGGGGGGAGGCAGGTCATTCAGCAGTCAATAAAATGGAGTCTCTGTGGCCAACCTGCTTCAGGGGGTCCAGATAGCTGCTGGGTGGTTTGAACCATCAACCTTTCGGTTAGTGGACAAACACGAACCGTTTGCACCATCCAGGAACCCTGTTGGGTTGTATGAATTTGAAATATATTATGGACATTAAACCATTTTTAGCTATATAAACCCAAATCCACTGCCCTCGTCGATTCTGACTCATAGTGACCCTATGTAGATTTTCCAAGGTTGTAAAATCTTTACACGAGAGCCTCCTCTTTTTTCTAAAGAGCAGTGGGTGGGTTTGAAGCCCCAATCTTGTAGTTAGCAGCTCAATCCTTAACCAGGGCTCCTTATCAGATATGTGGTTCCCCCCCCTCCCCCGCAAATCTTTAGGTGGTCTTTATTTTGTGATAAATTCAGCAGACTATTTTCTCCATTGTGAACAGGACCCACAGTAAGGGTGGGTCTGGGAAGCCGGCCCCTGTCTCTGCCCACAAGCCCAGGGAGGGGGCTCTCCCAAGACTCTGAGCTCGTTCTGGTCCGAGGCTCGACACCCACAGGATCAGGCTGGGGGAGCAGGCCAACGCAGGGCAGGGGGAGGCGAAGCACCCCGCGATGGGCGGCGGGTGCAGGGGAGGTAGTATCTCGCCCCCGGCGAGGGTCTGGGTGTAGGAAGGGCACTGCGGGACTCCGTGCACGGACGCGCCCCTCTGGCCGAGCGCCTGGCGAGCTGCGCTTGCGCTC